GGCTTCCCGCTGAGCAGGGAGCCCGATGCGGGGCTCGATCCCAGGACCCTGGGATCATGACCTGAGCCAAAGGCAGATGCTTAACTGACTGAGCCACCAAGGCACCCTTTACTTAATATTTTTAATTTAAATTTCACCTTTTTTGAGTTGAATTTATTTAGAGACAAAACTTTATATTAGCCCCATACACACAAAAAACCTGTGCCAATTTCCATAAATATAAATATACATGGTTTTAAAAATTTCATTGAGATATCAGCTCCTTAAAGCACTATGAGTTTTCTAGAATAGTCTCAGAGGCCTGAGTCATGCTTTGGGAAATACGAGGCTAAACAACTCTTTGTGGATCAGTCAGATTTGGTGCCTCGATCTCAACAGATAATGTCATTGTATTTGAAAATGCCCCTCATGAACAAATCAGAATCTTACAAATACAATTTCTGGACAGAAGCTCTTCATAGCTTGTGTGATGCTCTCATTTGTGAAGTTTTTCTGTTGTTATGACTAGTAGTAATAACAATTTTCTGGTTAAAGAAGGTTATTTATTTTTCTTGTCCCTTGGATTAGAATGGAAAGCTACTCCTTAAAGAAAAGAGCAACTCAATCCTAGTGGATGAAGTTTTCGAAGAACAGGATGGCACGTACGTATGTGATTACACTGAGTCGGATAACACAAGTGAGTGGACAGTCAGAGCTGTTGTTCAAGTGACAACCATTGGTAAGTGAGATTTTTGTTTCCAGATCTGGGATTTGAAGCCCCATTACCCAATTAAAGTTACCTTCCTTTGGCTTAGTCCTGGCTTCCTTTTTGAAAAAAAAAAAAAAAAAAGATAGTCATGTGAAGCCTTAAAAGCACAAAGACGTTAATTTCCCATTAACCTGGATTCCATCCCTGGGAAAGGCCTAGTTCCGGATCATATTCAAATTGTCGCAAGTTGGGTTTTCCCTGCATTGATCAATCCCTGGTTTGTTTTTGTAATAAGTTAAAAAATTATATGAAATATTTCACACACAGCAATAAATGACACCATGAACCTATCTCCAGCTTTAATACATGTTAATGTCTTTCCACATGCTTAAAATCTTGCTTTTTCTTTAAAGAAACGAAACATTGCAGGGACAGCTTGAGGCCTATGCTCCTATCTCTTCCTGCTCCTTCCCTTCTCAGCAATAGTCCAATCTTGTAGCTTATCTTCTTTCATTTATGTCTTTATGCTTTTCTACAAACATATGTAGACATTAATAAAATAGAACATTGTTTTATGTTATAAAATGTGTTTTGTGTTAAAAACCCATGGTATTATTCTAAGGTATCGTTTTGCCAATTTACACCCCCCTCAGCAAGGAACAGATTCCCATTATTCCCAAATAATGTTTGGTGTCATCAGGCTTTTTGATTGGTGTCAAGTGAGATCTCTCTCCCTCTCTTTCTTTTTTTAAGTCCCGATTTACATTTCCATGAGTACAAATGCAGTTTAATATCTTGTTATATGTTTATTGGTCTGTTGGGTTTACTCTTCTATGATCTGTCTATTTTTGGCCCAATCTTTCCATTGGGTCGTTCTTACTAGATTTACAAGTGCCCACATGAATAAATTGTACGCTGTAATTAATTTAAGCATGGCTTTTGTCAAAACACAACAGGGTTGGTCATTCATGCTTTGTATTAAAGAGCTACAGAACGGTTGACTTAGCTCTTAGTAAATACATTGATTATTTTTACCTCCTCTTCTTTTAGTGTAAATACAAATTACATTAAACACCCTGAGGCCAAGTTAACCACTTCTGCCTCCTTCCTGGATCTCAGCAATTTACATTTATATTAGATTGTTCCTTGGAGGAGAAGTTAGAATGCAAGTATCCCACTTGTACCCCTTGCCCCCTCCACGGTATGTCAGGCATGATAACTCAGCCCATCAAATTTTCAGGGGCAGAATCTGCTTTTCTCTTTCTCCCAAGGGATGCCTTATAAAATCTGTTACCTCTCTTTTAATCAAGCATTCCTGTCTTCCTCACTCACTCATTCATTCTTTCATATATTCATTTTTACACAGATATTCGTTGCATATCTAATACATGTCGGGCACTGGGATTAGTGGTAAGGCTGTAAGAATGAGCTCCTGGAAACTTTCTGTGGCCACCCAGAACTTCCCACTTTGTGGGGTACACAGGCCATCATAATACATTTCGATGAGTGGCGAGAAAGGGGACATGTGGGAGGTCCACCAAACCCAAATCCAAACCTGGACACACCATGTCCAAGTGAGAACTGAGGGGTGAGCCCAAACCAGGGCAATGAAGGTGGTCAAGATGCCATTCCAGGCAGAGGGAGCAGCACCGTCAATGTCTGGGAGATGAGAGAGGGCATGCACAGTCCAGGAAGAAAAAGAAGGTCCATTGAGAGTGAATGTCTGGAAGCAGGACTGACATCACACTGTTTTAGCGCCTTCGAACTTTATTTAAGGAACAGTGGGGAGCTATTGAGGGTTCTAAGTAGGAGAGTGTCATGAATAGATTTGTATTTGAGATAGATCATTACATCTGCTGTGTAGAAAATGGATTTGGGGGGAGCAAGAATGGAGAGAGCAATTGCTGATGGTAGCCTGAACTAGGAGCTGCAGTGGGGATGGACAGAAGTGGACAGACTCAGGAAATATGGAGGGAGTACATCCGAAAGGATCTGGGAACTGGCGGTGAGGAAGAGGGAAAAGGAGGGATCCAGGACAAGAGAGTTGGGTTTTAGGTGGACTTTCTGTTAGATACTGATGGAAGATAGCATCGCATGGCATAGATAAGAGCTGACATAGGGCACAAAAGGGGGAGCACAGCAGGTTTGATGTATATTCTTAAAAGATGCCCCTGGTTGCTCACTGCCTAGACTTAGCAAAGGTGATGAGAAACAGCTTTATTTGTGTATCAACAGAACGTGATGATGGATTTAATGTGTGAAGAGGGAAATGAAGGATGTTTTTGTTTTCTGGCAAAAAAATGTTTTTGTTAACGTGGTCAATGGTGACACCATTTCATGAAACAAGAAAAGGCTGAAAAAGAAGAGGTCTAAGGAAGAAATGAAGGATTGGGTTTGAAAGGACTTTTAATGATCCAAATCACAATGACAAGGAGGAATTTGGATAAACCAGTCTGGAGATGTTAGGGCTGGAGATGAAAGGTGAAGGTGGTCAACATGGTATCTAAAGCAAAGGGACTGCATGAGGTCACCTAGGGAGTGAGTATAGAGAGAAGAGGGTCTGGAACTGAGGTCTGGAGCACTACAATACTTGAAGAAGTTAGGAGGAAAAGGAGGATCCCCAGAGGGGGTAGAGCAAGGGTGTGGGAACAGAGGGAAACTGTCCCAGGGCAAGTGACTAAAGTATCTCCGGGCAGAGGGAGTGATGCTTGAGAACTCATCATTGGTTTTGGGAAGATGGCAGACATTATTTACATAAGCGTTTGAGAACTCATCATTGGGTTTGGGAAGACGGCAGTCATTATTTACATACGCGAGTGGGTACCGGTAGAAGGGTGGGGAGAAGACCTGTAAAGGAAGTGAAATTGATGACGTGGGGGAGAGATCATTTCAAGGTTCAAGAGCTTTTGTAGGGAAGAAGCCTAGAGAGTGAACAGCACCACAGCAGAGAACAAGGAAGAAAACTGATATTCACAAGAAGCACAGAGAAAGCGGGGCCCCCAAACACATCGGGAAGTGAGCAGAGAGGCAGAAGGTGAACAAGAGAGTAGGGGAGCAGGGAACCAAAAGACAAGAGGGTTCCAAGAGATGGTGCCTGACAGTGTCCAAGGCTGTAGGGAAATAAAGCTGAAGAAAAACTCAGTTGTGCCCAGTGGATTTAGGTGCCAGGAGGTCACTGGGGTCTTTAGACAAAGCAGTGTCTGTGGAGTGATGGGGGCAGGACTCGAACTACAAGGAAAGTGAGAGAATGGAGATGAGCATATAGGACTGTTTCAAGAATGTGGCTGCGAAGGAAGGAGAATGAGTGCAGCAAGGAAGTGAGGTGCAGGGATTTTTCTCTCTTTTAAGATGGAGAGACTGAGCATGGGTAAGTGCCAGTGGGAAGAAGTGGGGTGGGGGGAGCGGAGAGGAGAGAGAGAGAGAAAGAGAAAGAGAGAGAGAGAGGGAAATATACAGGGGAGAGATGGAATCTTTGAGGGAAGGAGGTCCCTGAGAAGTAAGAGGACAATGTCCAGAGCAGAGGCGATGAATTTCCCTTTATCAGGAGATGGGACATAGTCAGGAGGAAGTTTGACCACGGAGCCCTATTTGACAGTTCGGGGCAGGAAGTTGAGCGATAAACGAGTAATGGAGGGCCGGACTCACCTTTATTTTGAAATAAACCACGATCTTAGTGATGGACGGGGTGGACTCCAGTCTGGCTGATGTGGGCATTTTCTCAGGTGTGTTCTTCTTCTGGATTACTCAGCCAGATGGGGCTAAAAAGCAATCTTGTAGGAGAAGACAGGAATGGGGGCTCAGGTCTGCAGTGGTTGAGCAGGGCTGGTGCAGAAGAAAATGCACCCAGGTGGATAAGGGTTTATCAGGGACTAATGTTTTGCTAGCACCTACGACCTGATATCATGGTCATTTTTGGAGGCTTGTTTTTCACATGGAAACCTAAGTTCCTAGCTTTATAGAATATGAATCAAAATTGAAGAGAAAGCTCCAAAGCATTGAGATCAAAGTGCCCCTTTGTACACACATCTTCAGCAAGCAGGCTTTCAGATTTCCCAATGCACATAATAATTTCTATTTTCATCTTTTAGTGAAAGACACTAATCACAAACCAGATATTCTGGATCCCATCGAGGACACATTGGAAGTAGAACTTGGTAAGGTGGGTTGTGTTATCACCCTTGAATGACATTGTGCTTCTGGGAGTAAGTCTAAGTGTGATATAAAGAAAAGAACCTCGGGATTTTTTTTTTTAAGTATTTTATTTATTTGTCAGAGAGAGAGAGAGAGCACAAGCAGGGGGAGCAGCAGACAGAAGGATAAGCAGGCTCCCTGCTGAGCAGGGAGCCCGATGCGGGGCTCGATCCCAGGACCCTGGGATCATGACCTGAGCCAAAGGCAGACGCTTAACGACTGAGTCGCCCAGGCATCCCAAAGCTTGGGATTTTAAGTCAAACAGAATTGAGTGTGAATCTTAGCTCAGCCACTGGCTACTTTTGTGATCTTAAGATCATAAGTTATTTATTCTTTCTTAGCTTCAGTTACTTATTCTTTCTAAGCTTCAGGTTTTAAATCTGTAAACAGACAGAAGAAAACTGACCTCATCTGGATGCATCGAGAAATGTAGGATAACGTTTGTTAGGTGGCTGGTGCAGTGGACATGATCAATAGATTTTAGATTCTTCCTTACTCATCACAGAAATAGCTGGTTATGTATATTAGGTCCATTGGTGAAGTCCGTAAATTTAACCAATTTACCAACATGAATAGCATGAATCTTTGCAAACATGGTGTTTGGTGTGGTCTTTAAGATAATTGTAGAGGAACTACATCCCCTGCTCAAGCAACTCATATTCCCAACTAGTGTCTTTTGGGTAGAGCTGCAGAGTGACTTTCCTCTTGGTCTCCTTGTATTTTGTCAACTTCAATAACATCTACATTTTCCCACACAGTAAAATAAGAACTGCTCTATTTAAAACCAAGTGCTGGTTGTTCCAATAAAATAAGTGCTCCTTTAAATGCTAAAATATTTATAATTACAGAAATGTCAAAATAGATACTATGGTAAAAGACCGCTAGATGGCGGTATCAGTGTGTCCTGATTACGGAAATAGAATTTGCAAAACCAGCAGCATCACAAGAATGCAAGGAAGGAGGAAAGGAAAAAAAAAATTAATAATTCAAAAATAGCCAAGCTACATATGGTTTCAGTGAATTTTAAAGAATTACAGGACAGAGGGACATGATTAAGGTGCAAAGATGATTTTTTTAAAGGTGAAAATTTGAGTTTGAGGCAGAGTATATCTGGATACCCCTTATGGAAAAAATGGTAGAAAGAGGACAGTGTGATAATTTGCATCCCCACAGTAGTGCGTTCCTCAGGAAACTGCTGAATATCTAAATAATTTCTTCTTTAAACTACATTAGAGTAACCTCACAATTTTAATTTAATATGCAAATATTGGTCAGCAGTAAAATGTTCTTTATTGACACACCTTGTACTCAACAGCAGCGTTGGAAGAGCAGGCTGGTCACTGAGGGGACTCCTCATTTTCCTGGTGTCTATCCTCAAACCACATCAGAATTCTTAGTGCTATGACCATATAGTCGCAGGTTTGAGATATAAGCATTGCCCACTGGAGACAAACAGACCTGGTCTTACTTGTTTCCAGATGAGAGACAGCTAGATGTTCGGTTATTTTCTGGCACACCTGTTTTTTACCTGCAAACGTGATGGCAGTCATGAACGGTCTTGGCGGGGGGGAGTCTTCCTCCTGCATAGGACAAAGTGTTCTCACGGACTTCCTATCTTCTGTGTCGCCTTCATTTTCAGGAAAGCCTTTAACTCTAAACTGCACAGCACGATTTGGCTACCAAAAGAACTTTATGCCTGTAGTAAAATGGTACATTAAAGATTCTGACCAGGAGTGGGAATTCCCAACATCTGAAGAGATCGGGTAAGAAGGAAATTAGCAGACAATATTCTTTGCCACCCACACTAAATGCTTTCACCTTTGGAAACCTTAAAAATGTACACCCAGAGGCGAGCCAACAGGCCCAGTTCACAGTGTGGCCACTAGCGCCAACTAGCGGTGACAAGAAGAGCATGGAAATGCAAAGGGCAAGTTCATTTTAAACAGCCCTTTCTGACAGGCCATAAAATATTTAAGTTGTTGTGAAGCTCAGTTTGTATCAACAGTTTGATGGGGCTGCTTTAAACATCAAGCTGACAAGCAGACAGGCATACCGACCCAGGCTGCCTGAATAGAAGTAGCACGTCCAACTAACGGGAAAGAATGGTTACCCTCCCAACCCCATTTTTCCCAGTGCCATCCATTTAGAGTAGTGGTGAGTTCAGGGTTCCAAATCTTCAGTCATGAACAATCTGGAATGCACCCAGAGGAAAACGCACATTAATGAGTCTAACCAAAAATATGTGAAGCGATGAATAGTTGAAGCAATCCAAATGGAAAAGGAGATGCCGAGGTGACATATCTGTCTTGAAGTCCTTGGAAGCGATTACGTTTTATGGAAACTAGACTTAGTTTGTTCCCCTCTGGAGCACAGAACCCCGATTAGTGGACAGAATTTACTGGGAAGACATTTTAGCTCAAGAGAAAGGAAAACTCTAGCTATTCAGAGCTAACCAATGCCTCATGAAGCTGGACTCTGGTCCCTGGAAGGATTAAGGGTTTGGATCCAATTGGTCAGGGCTGTCACTAAGAAATAGAGTTCCTTGTTTTTCCAAAATCTGTTCCAAAGTAATAGTCTATGTATTAAGCTCTTCCTTCTGATTCTTAAAACATTTCCATGAACAAATGTACTATCTTGAAAAGTACGCATTACTACAAAAAGAACAAATTTTGATAACAGTAATAGAATTTAGCAAGAACTTCTAAGACAAGGGAAGTCACACAAGCCCTTGGGTTCGAATCTCTGTTTTCCACCTGTTGGCAATGTGACCCTTGACCCCTGCAAGACATCCCACCACCTGTAATCTATGGACACTTATGTCCACTTTGCAAGGTCCCTGTAGGGAGCTGATTCTGTAGAGGTGACATGCTCGTCACCTCTTATAGGAGGGAAGCATTCAGTGAATATGAGTTGGTATTGTAGGCTCCAAGCAACACGGCCTAAAACACCATCCATCTAAATAATATTCCTTCATGTAAAGACAGACTGTAGATCGGCAACTTTAGAGAACCCAAATAGTGAATAAATACTGAGACTTACAACTCGCTGGATGGGGCAGAATGGCATAGGGCCAGGATTCAGGCTGTCACTTCCAAGCAGAGTGACCTTGGACTGCCACCTACCTTCTGTGCCTGGTCTGCGTTGCTGGCCAAGTCAGGATGATCATACTCTTACCTCTTAGGGACTCCTGTGAGGTGAGGCATGCAGGAGACTCCATAGTCCACAGTAGGTGTTCAAAAGAGTGAGCACAGATACATGGTAAGCCCTTGGTGGAAGTGAGCCACTAGTCAATATTATTCTTAAATTATTGTTATTGTCTGTTTTCAAGGGGAATGCTTAGAGTAATGAAGGCAGATGAGACTCACCATAAATTAAATTCTGGTGTAAATGCATAAAATGATGCCTAGCAGATTCAATAATCAAAAAATGGGCCCCCATCATAAGATGGTCAATCTCAACTTCTTCTGGACACTCCCCTAGCTCTTCTGAAAGCTTAACTGTTGGCTGCTAATATGAATTCCAAATACTGCAAAAGGTGGTCAGTGCATGCTACTGACTGAGTAAAGTATTCATTCTTCTTTCCTAGTGTTAAATCCACCAAAAAGGATAAAGTCATTGCCCGCGTTATCCACTTGAAAGAAGTTACTCAGAGGGAGCTTCGCAGGAAGCTTATTTGCTTTGCCCAGAACTCCATCGGGAACACTACCCAGTCCATCCAACTGAAAGAAAAAAAAGGAGGTAAGCCTGGAATGTTGCCACATCATGCACACAACTGCTTTTATCTTTCCTTAAGAATTGTAATGATGATGATAGCAATTAACATTTGTTAGATGCCGGACACTATGCACTTTGCTTGTATTAAACCATTTAATACTTTGACCAAGGGCACATCACTATTAAGTTTCATATCAGTGATCCAGAACTGGTCCTCTTAACTAATACCCTGTGTATGGGTGCTGTGTTGGATAAGCCATTCATTCATTCATTCACTCACTCATTTATTCATCCTACAAATACCTAAAGGGCATGTCCTGTGTAACAGGTATTGTGCTAGGACCTAGCTTCTTTTTAGGGTTTTCTTTTCCTGGCTTCTCAATCCAGAGAACATGATGGTCGGGTATTGCAGAATGGAGACAAGAGTCCTCTTGCTCATTGCTCAGGGTGGTACGTGTAATATCACAGATCACAGCCTTTTAAAGGTGGAGTGGAAATTCCTGGTAAAGAATAGTTTTGAAATTTCTTTAAGAAGACACTCAATGATGAGCTTGATATCATTCATTCAATTAATAAGTGATTACAAGAACAAGCAAGTTTTGAATGCTACTGAGGCTTACGTGAGACAAAATTTGTGCTTGGCCATAGTGGATGCTCTGTAATGGGGCTCCTGTCAGGAGAGGTGTGTGGAAGGTCTCATGTGTTAGGTACCGTGGAGGGTACAAAACCAAGCCACGCATTGCTCCTGGCCTCAGGAAGTTTAGACTTTACTGGTGATGATAGTGCATGAAAATAATTTATAATATACAATGAGAGGGATGCAAATGGGTGGTGTGGAGGTTTATGGGGGAAAAATAACTAAAAGTGGCCATGATCAGTTTCCCTGACCACCCCAATCAGGAATGGCCGGTTCCCGTGAACTGTCTCCAATTCATTGTCAGACAGTTCCCACAAGACGTAATTGTATGTATTTCCAGATTCAAGAGAATACTTCCAAGAGAAGTGCTTTTGATAAAAATAATAGGGTCCAAAAAGGTGCTGGGTGGGCCCACAGCGTTGGTTGGACTGTGGTCTTGTCCCAGGAAAGCTGTCTGTGCATTTGCTCATGGCTGCCATCTTTCCCCCAGCATTGTTCATATACATCCTACTTGGCACCGTCATGACCCTGGCAGGCGTGCTGATGGTAGCTGTTCTGCTCTACATGTACCGGATTGAGATAGTCCTGCTGTACCGAACCTACTGGAGCAAGGATGAGACGCTCGGGGGTAAGGTGACCCCCAACTTGCCTCTGAATTTTCCTCTCAGAACTGACTTCGAGGAAGAAACTCAAGAAGTGGGTGTTCCCTGTTGGAGAAAGTCATGGCCCTCAGCCTTTGAGACCTTCTTCCAGGTCTGGTGGCTTCACACCTGGGAGAGCTGGGAGCAAGTGGATAAACAACTTTTTTTCAGTCCATTTACCAGGAATCTTGCTGACCGACGATGCTGTTGTAGATAGAGCATGTTGGGCTCGAACATAATCTTGCTGTTCACCAACCTAACGCAATATGACAAATGACATAATGTCTCCTTAGTTTCCTCTCCTGTAAAATGGGATTGTAATCACAATCACAACGAATGCTCTGAGGACTCACTGAGTTAGGACATATTAATCATTTAGTACAGCATCTAGCACGTAGTAAACACTCAGTAGAAGCCAACTGCTATTATCTCTTGAGTACTGAGGGCATGCGAGTCAGGTGTATTAGCTGCTTCAACTGTCACAGCGATCCTGCAAGCCTGGCAGAGGGACATGAAGTCATGGGCCCAAAACTGAACTGCAAGATAGTGCTAGAATTGAGGATTTGGACCCAGGCGGTTTGGCTTAGAGCCCCCATAAGCTATTACCTCGGTTAGTCTCATCTATAAAACGAGGGGCTTTGAAGATGGTGGCAGTGTTTGAAAAGTGTTGAAATTCTATAAAATCCAAGTACTATTACAATGAATGAAGTTATCTGCCCACTTCCGCGGGAGATGGGATCATAGTGCTTATTGGTGTTTGCTTCTTTAGAATAGAAGAGCTGGTTTGAGTGTTTTTCTAGCCCCGGAGGTCCCTAAGATGAGAAAGTTTGCAGTTTTGCTTGGAGAGGGCAGGATCCCTTCTGCTGGATTCCGGGGCTAATTACTTCCCACGCCAGTGCTTGCCCCACACTGGGAACACAGTGAGGAGCTGTCAGATCTATAGGAAAAGGACAAGTCAATCGTATCTTTCTTTAGACTAATAATTGAGAATTCATGCAAGCAGTCCTTAAGCCAAGAGTGTTTTTTTAGACTTATTTCTTTAAATTAGCTTCTTAGCTTTTACGAGTTGAGCAAGTTATTTAACCAATGTCATAATCATTCCCCTAGATGACTTATGCTTTTTTATTTTTTTATTGAAATGATATTTATCTTAAGATTCTAGAGCTTGGGGGCGCCTGGGTGGCTCAGGCGGTTAAGCGACTGCCTTCGGCTCAGGTCATGATCCTGGAGTCCCTGGATCGATTCCCGCATCGGGCTCCCTGCTCGGCGGGGAGTCTGCTTCTCCCTCTGACCCTCCCCGCTCTCATGTGCTCTCTCTCTCTCTCATTCTGTCTCAAATAAATAAATAAAATCTTTATTAAAAAAAAAAAAGATTCTAGAGCTTGTACAGACAAGCCAATCAACCGTGAAACTTTTAAATCGCTCTTTTTACTTTGCACAGACAGTAACCTGATGAGGAGGCAGAACCTGGTTTTAAAGCACAGTGATTCGGTGCCCTTCTGTGGCCAATCTAGTGTTTTATAGCAAAATGCCTGTTTCCTGTGAAGTTAATGCTGAATATCCAAAATTTTGGAGAGACATAGACGGGCGGAGTTGCAAAGGACCTAGGAGAGTTCTAATACTCCCACTGGCTAATTTTATTACCAAAGAAATTTAATGTTTCCAGATTATAGAAAAAGCCAAGCTCGCTGGAGTTTCACAGGGATATGGAAGGAATGGAGGTGACTAGGGTGTGTGTCACACATTTAAACCACATAGCCCTTCCCTGCTGGCCATGCCCCACGAGCCTCCTCCTTCCCACCGGGGCAGTGAGGAACTTTGGACATGAGCCTCCCGGGCCTCGATTCTTCGGCATCCCCCTTTCTTTTCTCCTGGACCTCCCCTGCTCCCTCTTCTTTTTTCTACTGCTGACATTTCCATCCACCAGGGCCTCTCCTTATGTCCATGTTCAGCAACTGTAGTGCCAATTGCATTAGCCCCCTGGGCTCTTGCTTGCTATTGTAACACTGCTATTTGCCAGTCATTGTGCAAAGGACTGGAATATGACTCGGGTATGTCCGGATGCCAATGTCCATGAGTTAACTTTTGAGATTCTCTCTCTGTCTTGGTTGGCTAGTTATGTAGCGCATCCCAGTACTCAATGTGCATTTGTAATCATCCGCTCAACAGAGGCACATGAGACTTTACAAATAGCCTGAGATGAGCTTCATAAATATGATTTCCCATCCAGAAAGCAGGGGAAAAAGATATTTATCTTGTGAGCCTGCTGTGAGCCAGACACCACGCACTTTTTATACATTGTATCATGCAACCCTGAAAACTGTCCACCAGGGAGTTCTTATTACAGCATTTTACACATGGCGATTCTAATATAGGTACATGCGCCGTCAACTTTATCCTCTGCAAGGTGCTGGGTCTTGGCAGTGCTTTGCTCTCTGGATGTTACCACGCTTTGACGGAAAAGACTCTTCTTCGATGTGTAACGCAGGAGATAGCAACAGCGCAGTGCAAAGAAAACTCAGAGGAACCCCCGGGTACGTGTGATTTAATCACAGAAGTCATAGCTGTTTGATCTGACCTCAGTGAAAAGGCAGGAGTGCGTCATAAATTAGAATTTGAATCCGGTTGGACGGTCGACACCACTTAGCAGTGTGATTCTGAAATGGACACAGCTGCTGCTTTTTATTGTTAAATCAATGCAGTAAGGAGCCCAACACTTAATTCTTGCCCATATGTCGTAGGATACAAGGCCCATGTATGTAAAACATATGTAAATGGTTGACTTTTTTTTTTATCGTTTCTCTTCCTCAGATAAAAAGGTATTTGATGCTTTCGTATCCTATGCGAAACGGAGCTCTTTTGAGAGTGAGGCCGCTTTATCTCCGAGTGAGGAATACCTGGCTCTGAATCTATTCCCTGAAGTTTTGGAAAACAAATACGGATACAACTTGTGTTTGCTCGAAAGAGATGTGGCCCCCGGAGGAGGTAGGTCCTGCATGCCAAGAGAAGATCTAGAACAAAAAGGACAGTTGAATACAAGCACTCTCTGGGCTTTCCCGTCATTCCTTCTGTTGGGATATACCTCTTCTGGAAAGTTCCATGAGCTTAGAATATGTTGGACCACAGCACAGGAGAAAATGTGCTGCAGAGACATGTTCTGTCATCCAAAAAAAAAAAAAAAATCCATCTTCAGAAAAGAATTATTAGGCCCTAGGCAGGCCTTCCTGAACAAAGATAGGATTCCTGGCTCCTCCGTAGGAAGTCATCTCTGTCATCCCAAACAGGTGGCCCCACCCCTCAGCATTGGATAAGGCCGGGCACAATGGCCACTCATCAAATGTGCAGATCTCATTCCGTCCCCCCCTTCCCCTGCCCCAGGCACCCCACCAGGGAGCCTGGGGCATTCCATGCCCCCCTGTTATCCCAGCCTGCCTTGTGCCAACAAGCTGGGCTCCTAGAGGAATTGAGAGTTTGAGGACACAGAACACAAAGAGAGGAATGTGAAGTTGGGAGTCACCGGACATCAGAGTATATCTTCACCTGTCAGGAGCGTTGATACAGCAAAAGTGGCATAGCGAACATGCTTCCCTTCCTCCTTCCCCAAGAGTGCCTTTGCAAGGAACCCTCTGGGTAGATCTGGGAGATTCGGAGATTCGGGGTTATTGAGACTCCAGGTTTAGCAATAACAGTTCCTTAAATTCTTTATTTCCAGTGTATGCCGAAGACATTGTGAACGTGATTAAGAAAAGTCGAAGAGGAATATTTATCCTGAGCCCCAACTATGTCAATGGACCTAGTATCTTTGAACTACAAGCCGCAGTGAATCTGGCCTTGGATGATCAAACACTGAAACTAATTTTAATTAAGTTCTGCTCCTTCCAAGAGCCAGAGTCTCTACCTCATCTTGTGAAAAGAGCTCTCCGGGTTTTGCCCACAGTCACTTGGAGAAACTTAAAATCAGTCCCTCCCAATTCCAGGTTCTGGACTCAGATGCGCTACCATATGCCAGTGAAAACCTCTAAAGAATTGCGGTGGAACCATCTCAGAGGTATCCCCGAATTGTTTCACTGGAAACGACTCAGTAAAACAGAAACCACTGGGAGGAGCTCCCAGCCTAGGGAACGGTGAAGCG